TCTGTGGTCTGCTGTATGACACTCACCTTGATAGCGAGAGGTTGTGGGTTCATTCCCGCCAGATTTTTTTTTCGTACATACACTCGGCGTTGGAATGCCGTGTTCAACCTTTAAGACGGTTTTCCACTAGGCGAATTTATTCGTGCGAACGGAAAGCGTCGGTTCGCTTCTTCCTGAGCTCTGATTACCGCGCATTTGTTTCGCTTCGCAAAAAGTAGAAACAATTCGAACTACCGATTTCGCTGAAGTAAAAACTGCGATAGAAACGTAAATGCGCGTGCGCATGAACCGACCGACGCTTTCGATTCGCGCGAATAAATTCGCCAGGTGCAAAACCGGCTTTAGAGATGTTAGTGTTATTGCCGATCCTGACTGTCGTGTGAGTGGCAGGTATCGGTCCTTACATCTTGCAGACGAACTGTTTCGCAGTTTTCTGTTGTAGAATAATTACAGGCCGTATTATTATGTATCAATCAACTTGCTCATTTAACGATTGTTATGACAAGACATTTTCAATTGAATATCATGCTTCTGGATGTCAAAGAAGGATTATAGGATCGACCAACAAAAGTGGGAACTGATTGTAATTTGTATTAAATCCTATATCTTATAACAAAATTAGGCATATTGCTGATGATGAAGTCTCATGGACAATGCTTTATATTGTGCAATACTTTTGGTAGGTCAACTAGGTACACGGACACCTTTTTTGTGAAAGTGCTGGCAGTTCCTGGGTCGGTTCCATTTGGTTTTATTCATTGGCATGGAACTAATTACCAACAATTATGACAGATGACGCGTCGTAAAACCTTTAAAAAAATGCTAGTTAGTTCAAGGCGATGTGCGTTATGGATCAGTGGACTTAATAAACTATAATCTAATTTTCAGCAGGAGCAGTATACTTTTTATACCTGTGACTTTCAGGAAATCTAGAAAAACAGCACTAACGTACCTAAAGGTCCCACAACGTGCTAAAGTACGTGAACACGTGCGTTTGTGCGATATTACCACGTGTGTGCGGGACAATAAGCCTACCACGTGCGTTTGTGCGACAATAACATGTGCATATCACGTGTGTTTGTGGGACAACACTACGTTTGTTTGTGGGACAAGCAAATATTCGTGACCAGGCCCGTAGCCAGGTTCTTCCAAT